AGCCTTTCATCTCCATTCCTCAGGTGAACTAATCAAAAGTCCTCTTTATGAGGTTAGCAAGCCCACATTCCCTTCTGTCACTTTCTTGGGTGGTTACGTCTCTCCCCACCTTTCCCTCCTGCATTTTTGTCCCATGTTTGAAAGAGCCCTAATCCTCCTGGTGGCACAAGCTGAGCAGCCCGGGTTTCATCTCCAAGGGCAGCGTTCCTGACGGAGCTTCCCGCTTGGCCAGTCGTGTGTGGAAAGCACTAGCTGGCTCCTGGCTAAGAGTCCCCAACTCCTTCGTTGTTGCCTCCAGTCCTCCTTCAGGAGTCACCCTTTATGCCTTGGTGTCTCTCGGCAGTATTGCTGTATAAACATCTTCTAATGTTTCTCTTTCAAAATCACCATAGCCTGTGTTTGTTGCAGCTATATAACAATATAACATTTTGCTATTTCAGTTAAAGATATAAGTATAAAGCAAATAAGTAAGAAATTTCTTTCACTTGTAGGTGTTTTTTCTTTTCTTTCTTTTTTTTTTGTTTTGTTTTGTGAATAGCAGACTAGCTGCAAAAGATCTGCATGGATCTTTCCTCTGAAAAAGACATCATAGGGAAAGGTCTAGCTGAGTCAGTAAAAGGTCTCTGAGTTGAGCATCTCCTTCTGGTGATTTTTAAAACCACAGGGAATGGCTCTTTTCGCCCCATAATCTCATACAAATTGCCCTTGCTGTCCTTCAGAGAGGCAGGCAGTTTCCTGAATCCCTTTCCTGCCCATGGTGCAAAAACACCAGATTTTTCATTACTGGAATGTGTCTGTAAGTTCACAACCCTCCTTCTGCCGGGAATGTATGAAAGGCTTCTGTGTTGGAGATGCTGGAGATCAAATCTCTGTGCCTGGGACCTTATTATGAGACTCCTGATATCTGTAAGCTGTGCAGTGAATTGCCTTTAAAGCTCTGCAGAGATCAAATAGTTGCCTTGCAATGAGATCTTATTGTAACAATTTATGCTTACTAGGATTCCCAGAATGTGTAGAAGGTGGCAGAATGTATGCAGGAAATAGACTAATCACTGGAAAATTAATAGTTACATACCAAAGTGAGTGTTTTTATTACTGACCTAGTCCCACATATTCTCGGTTGATTCTTTTGGAGTGTTTTATAGGAAATCAAGTAGGAGAGAATTCAGATGAAGAGGAAAAGTGCCTGAGCACTTGGAACATTTCTCCAAGTCCTTTGCAAGGAGATGTGTTGAGCAGTATAATTCCAGCTGAGGACAGAAGAATCCCAAATTCTGTCTGTTCTCCCTGGCAATTCTCAGTGTGAAATATAAACACAGCTGTATTGCTACAGGAGCTTATTCCATTTGGATGAATTAACATTTTTTGTCACTATGGCAGTAAAGTAATATCCCTAGCTACAAATCTCCTTTTGTAATTTTCCTGCTACTGAACGCTAATTGATAGATGGATTTATTTTTTGTAATACAGCCTTATTTAAATTTTGCTGTCTACCACAAGGTTATTTAATAGTACAAGTTCAACTTGATTATTGGAATAAAAACTTTAGCTGTGGGAGCTTTGAATTATAAAGAGGATCCTCAGTTAAGTTATATAACATGCTTTAAGGATGCTCAGAAACTTGGAAATGCCTCCAAACGTGCTATGTTTTAGAGATTCCAGGAATTCCAGTGTATGAGGAATGGGATGGAAGGACAGTGGTGGCACTCGTTGATAGGTCAGGAGGTAAATATGAGGGAAGGAATGATACCCCTAAAAGGAGGAATATGGCACCTATCCAGATATGTTTTTAATTAATTACTCAATGAAACCTGCATTGTTTGTAACATATATTTTAAAAATTTAAAACAGTAGATATTTAATCATTTAAAAACCCATTATTTTATGAGAGACACCAGCTTCTACAGGACAGCCCTGTCGCCTTGTTTTGCCGTTGTTAGATTTGACATAAATGCAAATCAGATATCAAAGGCTCGTGCACTTGCAGGGCCGTGCTGCATATCGAACACATCCCATAGGCTGCATGTCTGCTTAAAGCCAATGAGTTAATGGCACCATTTATATTGACTGCATCCTCATTAACTGTTACAGAAGCTTAGACATTTTGCTTATATGTAGGCACAGAAGATGAGTTATCTTAGTCTTGAACTCTACTCGCTCTTGAATATTTGAGGTAGGTGCACAGTTGCTTTGAAAGAGATTGGGAAAAAGCAACTTGCCCAGGAAGGTCTGGGCTCCTGTGACGTGGGGTTGGAAGGGTTGGATGCACTGATGAAACCCAAGGGGGAGGTATCCCCCTGCAGCATCCTGCGAGCTTGTGGCTTTGGTTTCCTGCCTTGCTTTTAAGTTTGTGCTGGTGGAGGAAAACTTAAGTTGAACCTCATGGAGTGCATTTTGATCTGTTGTATATAACAGGTGTAAAAGGCAAAAATCTCTCCAGCAAACTGCAAGCAGTGATGGTGGCAGGGGCTGGATCTGCACTTTGAAGGGACCACAAGCCCCTCCAGAGAGCATGGACTCTGGGATACTCCATATGGGATCGGTGTGTCTGTGATTAGAAGGGACCCAGCTTTTCACTTGCCTGGCAATTAAACATTCTGATTAAAACAGGGGAATTACCCTTGGATTCTGAACATAATCTATGACAGAAGATTTTCCATCATGTTACATTGCCTATGCACTATCATCTGGGCACTGTATGGTTCTTTTCTCACTTCCTAATCTATAAATATTATTTTTTTCCTTTCAAACAGACCTTGTATTCCAGCCCCCATAGGTGCTCCTCCAGAAATGAGTGAAATGTTTCCATGGGATGCATAAACCACGGCAAACTTCTGGGCTGTAAAATATTATTGCAATCTTAGTTATGAGTAATACCACCTAAACTACAGAAATTGGCTTTGAAAAGGCAGGGGATGTAAAGGATGTAATTGAGGATGAAAAATGAAATTATTTTTCCTCTCTTTCTAGGTGCTCCCTCTGGAAAACAGAATGAAAGACAGCACGCGCTTCCCACAGGCGCTCAACATCGGCATGGGCATAGTCATGGCCTTGTATATCTCCCTCGCCACCCTGGGCTACCTGCGCTTTGGGGATGAAATCAAAGGCAGCATAACTTTAAACCTGCCACAGGATATATGGTAAGTGGATATAGAATGGAAAGTCCTTGCCCTAGAAGGGAGAAGTTGTGTTGCCAGTCACAGAATCACAGGATGGTTGAGGTTGGAAGGGACCTAGAGATCATCTAGTCCAACCACCTTCTCCAGCAGGAACACCCAGAGCACGGAGCACAGGGTCTCATCCAGGTGGGTTTGGAAGATCTCCAGAGAAGGAGACTCCACAACCTCTCTGGGCAGCCTGTTCCAGGGCTCTGTCACCCTCACAGCAAAGAAGTTCTTCCTCATATGGAGATGGAACTTTCAGCTTGTACCCATTACCCCTTGTCCTGCCACTGGCCACCACCAAGAAGAGTTTGGCCTCCCCCTCCCTACAGTCACCCCTCAGGTACTTGAACATGTTAATCAAATCTCCTCTCAGCCTTCTCTTCTCCAGATTAAACAGGCCCGGCTCTCTTAGTCTTTCCTCATAAAATAGATGCTCCAGTTCCTTAATCATCTCCGTGGCCCTACGCTGGACCCTCTCTAGAAGCTCCACATCCCTCTTGTCCTGGGGAGCCCAGAACTGCACCCAATACTCCAGATGCGGCCTCACCAGAGCTGATTAGAGGGGCAGGATCCCCTCCCTCCACCTGCTGGCAACGCTCCTCCTGATGGTTGTTTCATGCATCCGAGCTGTCATGCTTGTAACTGATAGACACTCAAACTTCTCCTTAAAATACTTTGTTTTCTCTATGCCTTCTACAAATATGTCATGATCCTAGCCAGTAATATCTTCCCTAGAAAGAGGAATTGCATGTGGAAAGAGCCCAGGGATCTTGATGGCACCATGCTCTGTCTCCAAGAGGAGCCAATGCCCAACGTAGCAAAGGAGCAAATCTCCACTTTGCAGCCAGACGTATTCCGGGCCTCGAAGTGACTGGTTTGCACTTGGATCCCTGGGAATACAGAGGCTTTTCTGAGTGAATTTTTTTTAACAGATGGAAGAGAACACACTGAAGATGAACAGGCTTGTAGATCTAGTGCCAGTTCATGGATAAGGTATAATAACAGGTTCCAGTCAGGATAGTGAAACTTAGGAGTTAACAGTTTCTCACAGGTTTTTATGTTAAACTATGCAAAAGGAAAATTTCTGGAAGGAATTCTGCTTCCTTACTTCTTGAAAAAGAAATAGGAAACGTTTAAAAACTGTTCATAATCTTCAACAGTTCCATTTTCACACAGTTTAAATTTTTAATTTTCCTTCATTCAGAAGAATTTTGAAGTCATTGTGAACTGTGCATTTTAAGTATTCTTTTTATTAAATTTTATTATTATTATCAATTATTATTTATTATTAATATTATTTTTATTAAAATATTATTTTAATATTTTTAATATTCCTCAACATTTTTGTTTAATAGCTTGGGTGGTTCCTGTATAAATACATAAATTGACAGTAGAATGTAGCCAGAAGGTTGACTTTATTTTCATTGCTCTAATTTCAATAATTTCATCCTTTTTTTTTTCGGTGATGGTTTTGGTTTTGCATTTTGTACTGCTGTTTTATGAACTAACATTGGGTGTGAGTGGCATTTTTGCATAAGTCTTGCCTTTTTCTTTCTTTTTTTTTTTCTCCTTTGATTCCCTATTCGAGGGCTTTTTTATCACAATATGCTTTTATTTAATTATTGTCTTTCATGACATAAACATACACAAAAAAACCAATCCTCCAACACGTAACTGCATCCATTTCTTTTTAGAGGATGTATCTGAGGAAAGGGAAAATACTTCTAGTTCTGCTATTACCTGATTTTACTTGTTAATGGGAAAATGTTAAATTGGTTGATCTAGTTTTCTGTGTTAAAACCTAAATTAACTTTTGCCAAAAGATCACTTTGCTTACAGGAAGCGGACGAGGAGGAGGAAGGGAAATGTAGCATAAGCTCAGTCTCTTTCTCTGGTGCTTTGTGTTGAGCTCGTGTAAGCAACAGAATTAACTCGATTAGCTGCTGCCCAAGTGCTCTGTTCAAATATTAGTTTTCAAATAGCTCTTAGCTACAGTTTGGGTGTGAAGATCAGATGCTATTTATCCTGCTGGCTTTTCAGACCTACTGCAAGAGACGCAGCGACACGAGAAATGAGAACTGGAGCTCTAAAAATAGTGTAGAATTGGTATTATAAGTTTAGTAAGCTCAGAGCTGCTCAGGATGTATAGACAGAGGTAACCGTTGCCTGTTTTCTGCTTTCCTTAGATATTCCCTGAAAGTGGCAAATGGGGTCGGAAGGAGAAGCTCCGTGGCACCCCCGTGGGCCAGTGCTGGGCTTTGCGCTAGAGCTGCTTGGTGCCGTGCCAGGGTGTGCGGTTACCTGCGCCACCCGGCCAGCGCGTGCGGTGGCATCCGCGCGGCAGCATTTTGTTTCAGCTCGTGAAGACTCTGCTTTGGGCCCGTGCTTTTATGGTTGTAGATGCTGCAGGCTTGTTTTTGATGAGATGCTAAGCATGAAGGCAAACGCCAGGACTTACTGAGTTGGCCAGAATTTTGAATCAGTTCAGTTCAAAATTCAGCTTATAAAAACACGTGTTTGCCACTCTTTTTAACCAGATAGCCCTTATCATCATAATTTACCTGAAGAGAGTGGGAGTGAAGAAAGGCTCCTGTCTTTTGAAATATGGATATTTGTTTCCCTATTGCAGTGAAATCTCAGTCAAGTCAGGTTGAGACCGTATCTCTTCACTGAATAACCTCGGAGGCATCAAGGCTAAAGACGAGAGGTCAGACTGCTGGTTGTTGCTTCCCAACATAAAAAGCCAGCGAGTAGCTCGGCTGAACTAGAGCAGGGTCTGCAGGGAGCAGAGGAGGTTTTGTAGGAAAGTGGATCACGGGAAGTGCCTGGAAGTGGCTACGCAGGAAATCCCGGTTGTGCAGTTCCTCTTTGATGGAGACAACAAAAGTTCTGCTGCTTTCTCAGTTTTACTGGATGTTCTCTCGGGTGGCTGTGAGCAGCAGGCACAGACAGTTAAGTCCTTTGCTGTAATTTAGGTAGAGGACTGCCTGTGTCTATAAAGGTTTTACTAGATCACAGCCTTGGGAGAAGAGATTTGTTCCAATTCTAATTTAGAATGTAATTTTGGAGGACAAACTGTGGGTCAGCTTAATATATTAACTGGAACATGCTGAAAGTTGACTTTATGGAAAGAGAGCAGTGTTCAGATTTTTTGCTGATTTTTAACATCTGCTTTACGGAATCGAGGGAATCCATTTTACTGCATAAGCTAAATTTGCTCTTTCTTAATATGCAGCTATGTTTGGCTACATGGACTTTGTTAGTAATTGGTTTTCATGTTCTCAAAGGTATGTAAAGTAGCTACTTTCTTTTTTTTCCCCATAAGAAGCAGCACAATGAAATCTAAAGTGTAGAATGAAGAGAGGCAAAGATTATTTTTGGCTTCTTTTGCACATACAAAGGACATTAAAGTATTTTTAAAAGTTAGTCTGTGGAAGCATCTTTATCTGATTGAAACATAATAGCAAATTACCAATAAAATCCAAAATACCAATAAAATCTAAAATTGAAACGTAAAATATTTTTAAAATCTCATTAACTTCAATATCAAAATTGGTTTCTAAATTTAATCCTTTGCAGTTAGAAAATTACTTAGTACATTGGAAGCACCTGCTTTGAAGTACTCTGTATTTAAAACTTTTGTTTTTTTGTATTAATTTATAAAGCTTTGTGGGCGCCTAAGGTCTGAGGATTAAAGGCTCATTGGGAGGAGCTGGTCAAGTTGTCTTTCTGTTAACTGGCCAATATCCATATCAGCATCTGGACAGTAATATAGAGCTGATGGGGGAAAAATAACCCTCATCTCTTTCTCTTTTTTTTCTTTTTCCTCTTCTTTCCTTCTAAATCTTTTAAAGTTGCTCAGCACTTAAGAAAAAACAAATAAATAAAAAAGAGTGTCTAGTTACTCCACTTTAAACGTGGACGTAGTTTTGCATATGCCTAGGACTTCAGAGGGCTATGTACAACCAGTAAGATCTTTGGCCCTGTTAGCAAAATTTAAGTGTACTTTTCCCTTTCTTTCATCAAGGAACTTTTAATTTCTTCATGTGTTCAGCTAATAGAATTTTGTTTTTATTTTTATTTTTTTTTGTTAGAAGCTTTTCAGTATATTCAAAAAATGAGAACTTGCAGAACTTAATTTTTGAGAAGACAGGCATGAAAGGACTGTTGTTATCAAGCACTTTTCTCTGTCCAAAATGACTATGCTATGCCTGAAGGCATTTCGTAATGCTAAACTAAGCCTCAATTAGTGCTGTTTAAGCCTGATTTTATTTTCCTTTGGGCATGGAGAACAGCTTATTTTCTGCCTTGTAGAGCATTCTTATAAGTACTTTAAGATCTTTATTGTACATCCCTCCAGTGTTAATTTCTCCAGGCTAAATAATCCCAGTCTACAGCCCTTCTCAGTAGCCATGCTTTCTAAAATCTAATTATTTCATATATATAATATATATTTTAGGTGCAATTTTACCAAAACAATATTATGAGATATAGTGAAGACTGCAAATAGTACAGCATTGATGACTGTTGCCCCTAGAATTTGAGACCCTTTTTCTGAAGAGCTGTTGTTTTAGCTGTTTGACATTGTTTTGTGCAGATATTTTTTTCAAATTCAGTACAGTCTTGTGCATCTAATTATAAAATTATAGGCTATTTTTTCCAACAATTTCTCACATTTTCAAAGATTTTTCTTAATTTAAAGCCTGACTTTTCATATCCTTGCAAGCAACTCTATATGGTTCTATCTATAGATGTGCATTTTCTTTATGATGAATTTAATTAATAAAAGGTTTGAATGATAGCAACTGCAGCACAGATTCAGGTGCAATCAAATTGTCACAGTTTCCTACTTTTGATACTAACTCACTGATGCTGCACTGACTATGGTTTTCCAAGTAGTTTTGCTCTCACCTTAGGTTTTCCTTTATTCTGTTATTTCTGTCCTTGCACATGGAAATGTCACTCAGAAGTTTTTAATCAGTTGATGGTATACAATATTTTGAGCTGAAATATTGAATCTTGTATTAGAGTTTTGAACATCTTAACTAAACAAGTTACCTTGTTTAAGGCACACTGTATCTGAATATGTTATTGTTTTCTAGTCTCTGTCAATTGTATTTTATTAAAATAAAAATGCTGGCAGTGTTCCAGATAAGGTGCTAGTTTTAGAGACAGGTTATAAAAGTATATAGACAAGCCACGGTTGTAAGGCACCTTTGGAGATTAAAAAAAATCCTTTAATTAAAAGAAGGCATGTTTTTTTTTATACTTTAGGTCTGCCTCAGGAGGCTGATTTCTGTTTCACTTTCATCAGGACAGTGGCTTTTCTTGATGCCGCTGTCTGGCATCTTGGTCTGGTTTCCAGTCTTCTTGGTAACCTACTTCCTAAGTGCTGCTTTGACAGACAGGGATCTTGATTTGGGGGTTTGTTGTATCCTTGCAAGTCCAAGTTTTTACCAGGGATCTGCTCATGTTCCTCCTCCCTTCTATTTCCTGGGGTTGGTAATTGGGACGATGGTTTTAATGCTTCTGGACGGTTATAGGCTGTGCTTTCCCAACTCTTGGAACTGCCAATGTCCTTCAACTGCAGCAAGGTGGAAGCTGCTTTTCTGAAGTGCATCAGATAAACCTGAATTTGTGTGTCCTACTGTGTGTATGTATGCAAACCAGCTACCTCACAGTAAGGTAAAAGCTTCTTTCTGCATGTCAGTATAAATGAATGGTACGCATCAAGATATTTCAAGCAATCGTATGCACTGGTATCCCTTCTTCATCTGAGACAATCCTGTTTTGGTGGGAAATTGTTGAGCGATATGAATACAATTTTGCCATGCCCTGTCAGTTGGGGTCAGAATCAGCAGTCAAAATCGGTGCAGGTCTGCTTTCATTTGCTACATGAAATGTGGCCTATGACAGCTCAAGGGACTATGTTTTTGAATGACCCCAGCTAAGCACTGGGGAATACAGAAACCAGGGTCTAATTTGTTCTCTCCCCATTCGTGCCAGAGTTCATTTCTTACAGTTATTACCTCTGTTTTCCGTTCGTAGCTGAGCTGGTCACTGAGGAGTGGTGCCAGAGTTCATTTCTTACAGTTATTGCCTGTTTTCCATTCGTGGCTGAGCTGGTCACTGAGGAGTGAGGCAAAATAGGCAGTCAGGGCTTTGCTCTGCTTGACGTCATCCTGTTACCAAAGTCTGGGTTGTTTATGAGAAATGCTTCCTCTCTCATTTGTCAACATATTACACTCCGTGGCAAATGGACTAAAACTTTACCTGAAAGATTTGATCATATTTTTGTTTGCATTCTTATTTCTAGAAATAAAATTGAATTAGGAATCATAAACTGCATCATTTGGCTGTAAGCAGCTGACAAATGCTTGGAGCACAGAGCAAGAGTGCACCTAGATTTAAAGACATCAGTCTGTTGGCATTTGTTCATCAGACGTAAAGTCATTTCAGGTAGGAAAATTTGCCTGATTCCTGGTGCCATCAACTGGATTGTCCTTTTCTAGTCTTTGCCTGATTACTGCATATCTGTGCAGTTTATGAGGAAAGACTAACCGAGCTGGGCCTGTTTAGCCTGGGGAAGAGAAGACTGAGAGGAGATCTGATCGACATGTACAAGTACCTAAGGGGAGAATGTAAGGAGGATGGAGCCAAACTCTTCTCAGTGGTGGCCAGTGACAGGACGAGGGGTAATGGGTACAAGTTGAAGCACAGGAAGTTCCATCTTCATGTGAGGAAGAACTTCTTTGCTGTGAGGGTGACAGAGCCCTGGAACAGGCTGCCCAGAGAGGTTGTGGAGTCTCCTTCTCTGGAGATCTTCCAAACCCACCTGGATGCCACCCTGTGCCCCGTGCTCTGGGTGTCCCTGCTGGAGCAGGAGGGTTGGACTAGATGATCTCTAGAGGTCCCTTCCAACCTCAACCATCCTGAGATTCTGTGGCTTCTATGACAAAAAAGCATGTTTGCTCTAGTGCTGTTAGCAGGTTTCTTTTTCTTTTTTTTTTAAAAAAAAGTTGTTACATGATAATTCTTGAAAGTTCTCATTCTTCAGTCTTCTTGTTCATCGTAGACTGTAGATGTGAGGCAGAAACATGCCTGACATTTCCTCTGTTCGGTTGTAATCTGACAAACTGAAGAGAGTCCTTCTACCCAAGTACACTCAACCTACTGGGGTGCTGTGGTGGATTGTCTGTGCACAAAGTGGCACTGATCATCAGAGCCCTGGTCTTCATCTTCACTCTGAGGTCTTTTAAAAGTCAACTAGAGTGTGTGCCTTTCTGTCTTAGGCTTGTAAGATGCTCCGGGGACAGCTGGGTTGAGAAATTGGGCAAATAACTGCCAAGTGATTGTTGCCAATTAGATCTGCAGTCCATTACAGGTCACCTTAGGGATTGAGTGTGGAGGTGACACTTAAGCAGGTGCTATCCCTTTTCTAAAAGATGCTGTAGTTCTGCAGTAGTAGCAAATATGCATATTAGGTGTAATGGAATTACACCTAATTAATTAATGCTTTTGATCATATCAAATTTCCTTATGTAGATTTCTTGGTTTATGGCCATGATTATATACGAAAGCTTTAGTTTCATTATCTATATTAATACATAACCTTTTTCTGTAAATATCCTTGTTTTTGTGAATGTGTTAACACCAAGAATTAAAGATGCTAATAATGATTAATGATTAAAACACAAACAAGATTAATTGAAATTTTGGTTTTGCAGACATGAAAATACTTTAGTTGCACTGTCGTGCACTTTCTGGTATCTTCTCCACTAAAGAAAAATATGAAGACAGGAATGAAAACTTGTGCTTAATATAACCTTCTCCCTCAGCCTGCTAAGTCAGGACTCTTTAACTGTCTCAAAGGAAACCTGGGTGCTGAACTTGGTTTATGTAGAGGTTAGGATGCTACACAGAGCACTGAATTATTGGAAATTGTTGCACTGTGGAACTGGGCCATGATCATGACCTGTTCCTAGATGTGGAGACTTGGAAGCTCTAGAATCATAGAATCATTCGAGTCATTATGGTTGGAAAAGACCGTCAAGATCATATAGTCCGACTGTGAACCTCTAGACAGAGCTCGTGGGATTTGAGCTGTTTTATTTTATAGCTTCAAGGAGGCTGAGCGATGGCAAGAATTAATTTCTGATTTAGTTGTTGCATGATGCACAGAAGGAATAAAAACTTGACTCATTGCACATGTTAAAAAAACAAAACGTGAAACTGTTGGTCTGAAAAGCTGAGCAGTCTTTTTTGTACAATGAGGAAGTTAAATTACAAAGTGGATTATTAGTTTATAATTTGATAGACCTTAAAGGTTTTAAGTACTTTAGACTTACATATAAGGTTAAAAAAAATCTAAATTTAATTAAAATTTTATTACTCACTTAGCCTTAATGTAAACACAAATGTCCCATGCTAGAATTTTCTTTAGACTTTTTTTATTAAAAATTTACAACTTACATAACCTTGTGTAAATGTTTTGAACAGGTTATACCAGTGTGTAAAAATTCTGTACTCCTTTGGGATCTTTGTGACCTATTCCATTCAGTACTACGTCCCCGCAGAGATCCTCATTCCAGCCGTCACCTCAAAAGTGGAGCAGAAGCGGAAGCTGCTTTGTGAGCTTGTGGTGAGAGCACTTCTGGTCTGCTCAACGTGTAAGTTTATACAGAATTTCCATAAAAATATTTGTTTCTACCTGTTCTCGAGGACTGCATTGATAAAGCAATGTTCCTTTATTTATTTTTCTAGAGGTGCTGCTGTGTATCTGTAAAACAATGCTGGCAAATGTTGGTCCGTGGTCAAAGGGTTCATGAGGGTCCCTTATTTTAGGGTTCAAAGGGTCCCTTATTTTAGGTGGTAATGTCCCAAAGTAGTGTTGTATCTGCCCTCAATGCCCGTTCCGCCTTCTTTTTATTCACTTGTCCCCTACTTCATCCTCTCTTCCCATCCCCCTGTCCTGTTCCCTCTTTTCTCAGGGAGTTGAGTACTACAGGTCATGGTAGTGATCAAGAGTGGATTAGGGACCTCTATGCGCTCATTGAACGCTCAGCAGTCTCTCACAGGGAATTGATATCCCTGAAGATAATGAAGGGATAAAGAGGTTCAGGTTTCTTTATATCTCCCATCTAAAGGGTTGACCAGCAGCGACTAAAATGTGCTCATCTTGAAAATCTTTTAAAAAAATCTTACCAGTAAAAACCTGGGTTCTTGACTTTACAATTTAATTTGAAGTGGCTGCTTACCTTAAAGAGATTTGAAACCTCCAAACAAAAAATGCCTTTGGTGAATAAAAATGCCAGTGGTGAGTAGGTTTGAAAACACATTTGCTTGTCTGACTTCTGCAGGGCACTGACTCTATGATATTTGGTCCTATTTTTTTTGTCTTAATTTTATTCCTGAGCCTTGAAATTACCGAGTAAGCTGTGAAGGCAAAACTGGGCAACAATCTCATGAGAAAGGAGTAGAGAAGAAAGAGAATTAGCTTTAAAAGCTGGATGAGAAATTTGTGCAAGATGAAAAGAAAAACTGGAAGCAGAACAACCGTGGGCTGTGTTGTGAGCTGTACTTGGAAGTGGCAAAGTGCTCTCTTGGGTTTGATTAAATAAGGTTGTGGGGCTGTGGGGACCCGCAGTGTCCACTGAAACATCAAGTGTGGTGAGTTCCATCTTCTCAGAAGCACTTTTGCAGTGTTATTTTCAGATACTTCATTGGTTCATTACAAGACAGCATTTAATGGTCTTTCTTGTGAAGTGAATGTTAAATCTTTGCTGAAAAAAAATGTAGAAAAGAAGTAGTAAAGATGGACCTAATTCTTGACATTGAAACTGCTCGGTGATGTGAATCTGTAAAAAGGCCTTGCTGGATTTTCTTGGGGTGGTTGTGTGACCAGCAGTGTTTATCTTAGTTGTCATTTCCACTTTTTCAAGTGGTTTGTACAAAATGTATGTATGTTGTTATCCATGTACATTTGTCCATGCACATTTGTTCAGGTTGCAAAACTTTTATGGAAAAAAATGTTTAATTGCTAATTAGGTTTCGATAGTTTGTTTTCACCAACAGTTGTGTGCAAGCTCCCACTCTTACACTCCTCTTTAGTTTGCCACTTTTCATTGAAGGAAACATTGGTTATAATCTAGAATGGATTTGAATTGCGCTTGGCTTTCACTACATGCAGTAAATGGTTCCTAAAATGATTTGGAAAATGTTTATTAAAAAAAATCGACTAATCTTTAAAATTGAGTTTTGAAAGTGAAAATGTTTTTGATATCAGTGACAGAATATGTGGTAATGTCTGGACCTTTCAGGGGTCATACATTGGTTCTGTCAGTTTAAAAATAATTTTCTAAAAAGAGAAACTGATAACACACTACCTTATTAAGAAAAGACAGGAAAAAACAGTCAGCTTTTCATTATTATTATTAGTTTTTTGGAGTTTTGCGTTTCCCAAAAATCTATGAAGTCATAGTTTTGTTGTTCCATGCGTACATCAGAAGCTTGGCTGGAAATCACGTCTCCTGAGCTGATGCTGGTGGGATGCTGGCATTCGTTTGTATTTTTTTTTTTTGCTTATTTTTTGTATGGAAAGAGGCTAGTTCTAAGTATGGACTTGACAACTGGAGACGCAGCGTGCATCAAAACAAGGTCTTGCTTATGGTTTTATGTGCATTTAGTTGGTTGCTTTTGGATGCTGAGTATTGGAGAAGGATAGGATGTGTCTTTAGATACTTCTCTCTCGAGTAGAGCGCAGGGTGGGTTGGGTGGGTGTCAGTTGGGGAATAGACCAGTCATTGAGTTTTGCTGCTCGATCAGTTCCCGAGGGGCAGTGTGATCACTGTGGTTCTCTTTCTGCACAGAACTGGCAATGAAAACTAACTAAAAGATTTCTATATCAGATGGGAAGAGGAAAACAGACTTAAAAACAATGTTAGTAATGGCTATTTGGAATTTTAAATCTGTTCTTCATGGCTCTTTTAGGACTCTGCTCCACTCTCATTCAAAGTAAAAGCAGATTTTCCATGAGAGTGCTGTGTGGATAATAACATGCCTTTCCTGTGGTTATAATCCTTTATTTCTAGTTTTTGATCAAGAAAAATGAGTGCAAGTGACTTGACAGACTTTGTTCCCTGCTATTTTTATCTCTTCTTAAAATTTGATTATAGTATTAAAACAGCATTGGAGTATTACATTAGATAAAATCCAACTGAAATATTTTTGAATTTTACGAGAAGGGGGGAAGTGAGTCTCCGTTTCGTGTGTTTTTGAGCATTTCCCTCCTTTTTCGTCTTTCCTTAGCTCTCCCCGTGTGCTTTGTGTGGTCCTTCAGGTTGCTATGATGCTTCATAATCCTAACACTCAACCGTTGTTCTGCAAACTCTGATGAGCACCTTGTGCACTCGCTGGCACTGCGCTCATGGGCGAGATTTCTAGTGAAGTCCAGAACAGGCTGAAGACTGTTCTGGAGGCACTGAATGCAGGTGGGAGGTGGGAGGTTGCCTTGCAGATGGCCAGGCAGAAAAGAGATTGAAAGCTCAGCCAAGGCTCCCCATGGTGGCCCTGCCCGCGTGCCTGCAGGTCCTTGCGTGCAGGAATACGGTAGGAACACTCCTAGTAAGCTTCAGCTGCATGAATTGCAGCTCTTAGCTGGGAACTCATGGCCTGTTGTCCTTTGAGTCCACTCACCCATCTGTAATAGTTAGAAAAGGTCTTTGCAAGGCAAAGATCACAGAAAACAGATTTGATCCTGCTCAGACTGTAGCATGCTCCTCTCGCATCCTTGCAGTTTCAGGGGGGTCTGTTACAGTCATATATGTATTTTTATTTGAAATGTGAATGCTTTTAATTTTCCTTTCAGATTTTTTTTTTTTAGTGTTTGTAGTATTTGAATTTTGAACAGCTTCAGTCCTTTTTAAATATTTGTCAGGGTGGAATATTTATATTGTGAGAGTACTACTTCTGTTTTTACTTCTTCAGAACAGGTATCAAAGATAATTTTGATTTGCATTTACTGCATCTGCTTGGATAAAGTTTGGACTTCCAGCCCAGATATTGCCATGGACCAGCAGTTTGCTGAGCCTGTTATGTGATAGCATTGGAGTATTGCACAGACGGGGAACAGTCGTATGAGCATAAAGCTTTTAATTTGCTTTTGAAGAAACTGGACTGTCCTAGCTGAATTTTTAAAAAGTTCATAGTTCTTTTAATATCTTTTGTTCTTTTTTGTGTAGAACTGTATAAGTTTCCACTTCATCTATTGAGAGACCAGTTTGTCTGGGAGAATGAGACAAAAAAACCTTCTACCCAAGTTGAGTCCTTAGTGCTGCTTAGCGAGTTGCTTGAAATTAGCTGCTGGTATGTCAGGAGAATTTTTTTCTCTTCCCTGCTTATCTAGCATTAAGATCATGGTAATCCTGGAGAGAGGAGACTTTGAAGATGTTTGGTGAACCTAAAAAGTCCTTTCTTGTGTTTAAAAACTTTGAAATATGCTCAGCACATTGAGACTGAGAGGAGATGCAGTGATCAGGAGCTCTGACTGTCCAGCATTAGGCAACAGTGAGGTTAGATAGCATCAAACATACTCGGTTCTACTGCTGTCTCTCAGTAAAAACTGTGTTCTAAAAATATAGGACGAGGCAAGAATGTAAATTCCCTGAATATATAAATGTAGGTTTCTGATTTCCCATGTATCAAAATCCTACCCGTGTGTCTCCTGCTGGAAGGTATCAAAGGTTAAGTTGTGCTTCCTGGAGGTGTTAGAAGAATTACAGATAAATTAACTACTGAGAAAATCTTTTTCATCTGAATGGTGGCAGCAAATCTACAAGGAAGAAATGAAAACAAAAATGAAGAAATTTAAACTTTATTTAGTTTTTAAAGAAAGAAATGCTTTTGACATGTTATTTTCAAGATTTTCAAGAGGGAAATAACTTTCTTTTGAATTGAAGAATACTACTGAAATTTGGTTATATAATGAAGAAAAATGAAGTCAGAGGTAATATTATCTTTTATCTGTGCAACAAATATAGATTTTTTTATAAATAGCTTAATCTAGAGCTGTATTGCAAAAGCCACAGTGCGTCTCTTAAATGAAAATGAAGAAATATTGTATTTGAATATGGATGTGGAGATATTAGCAGGATCGTCAGCTGTTTTGATTGTTAGCTCAAAATGAAACAGATTTAATTGAATGGCTAATCCAGCTGAGTGTGAACTGAGCTCTTTAGTGAGCTGCTTTCCATTTAAAAAAAAAATTAACCTGAGCCTGCTGTATAATTTTACAAAGAGAAGAAATTCATTATTCAGTTGAACTTTCCATTGTGCTTGTCTAAAGATTTTCCCATTTTATCTGTACTTGGGTTCAGAAAAGAACAGCTCTTGATGCTGAATGATTAGATACAAGATAACACAATGTTTGTCAGCTAACAGCACAGGGCCAATAAAATGCTGATTCAGAGTAGCTGCAGTGCAGGTAAGATGAAGGAGTTTTCAGATCCGGGTAGACTTTAATATAAATATTTAGGATAGCATTTCCGTAGAAGTGGTCAGTGTGTTTGAATTTTTTTTCATTTTAAAGGTAATGATGACAGATAAATGGAATGTTTGGAATGAAAGAAGCTCTAGGATGAATAATATTCCATTCACTTTTTCATCCTTAGCC